GGCTTTACTTAGGCACAGTGCACTAATAAAGATGCTAACTGATTCTTAGCAGCAGGTGAAGGTGTCAAGTTTACTATGCCCATTGTCTAAGTGAAGTGTGTTAGGGTTCTGAATATCTATCTTATTAGCACTCAACAGAAAGTACTGCTCAGACTGGTATGTATGTCTTTGGTTTTGCAGATGTTTGGTCAATGACTTTATTACCAAAATTAGAAATATATCCTGTGAAGGACATGACAGTCGTATCAAAATAAATATTATAACCATTTATTTGGTAATTGGGTTTATAGTGTAATTGGACAAAATAAAAATGTGACCTGATGATAGCTCTATACACAAAAATCAGGTAATGCATCTGATAATTGTTTTGGCATTTCAAACTCTATACATAGAGCTCCGTGGGGAGCTTGGACCCTGATCTGCTCTCCACTCCCCACAGCGACCTGCGGACTTCAAGGGGCAGAGCCACCGGTATGGTAGCCCCAATCCTCTGGAACTCCCCCCCTTAAATCTTGATCACTAAATCCTAATACATCTTCAAAAAGTTGATTTAAAATGTCACTGGAGGATTCAGCAAACTTCTTCTACAAAAGTACCCTTACCTGTTCTGCAAGAGCAAACATTAACTCACTTTTTCTTAACAAGAAAATGCCATGGGGGCTCCATTTGGGAGATCATTAAGATTTTTTTTTCATCTTGAGATTTGCTCTTGGTATGTGGAGTGATTTTCTAGGTCTTCCCTTGCCCAGATCAGGAGGAAAAATGGAAACCTGCCAAAAAAGGGAGCTCTGATTTTCAGAATCCTGCCTCAGGTTAAAAGACAATGAACTATAGCTGGCTTTGATCTGTGTTCATATCCAGGCAGAATAACGATAGCTTCTTTGACTGCAGCTAATGATGTCTGTGGAGTGTTAGCATATCGCGAGGGGGGGATTTGTAACCACATGGGTACCTTTAATGAGTTTTATTTGTATCGTTTTATCCCCTCCACCTCCTGTTCACCTCAGTACACAGAGTAATGAAGAGGGAGGGGTAGTGTGGGTCAACATCAGCCTCTTCCAAACCAACATGAAGCTAATTATCTGACCCTCACAAAGATAATCTCTCAGAGTCAGTTTAAGGAGAAGAGATTCCCCCCTCTAAGATTGCATACATTTACATTAACATCCCTTTTTATTCTAGGTTTGGTAGTGATGGGGTTAATTTGACTGGGGATTTTTGGACTAACTTTCCAGGAGCTGAATATCAACTGCATGATGCAACATGAACAACTGATAGAGTAGGTAGACTTGGGCTGGTATCAAAACGGATGATTGGGGAATGTTGAACAGGTGAGTAGTTTGAAGAGTCAGGTAACTGGGACAAGTAGAGTAGGCTATTTGCAATTTGTAAGATGTGATACTATCTATGAATTTCAAGACTATGTTCTGCTTTGCTAACAATTAAGGCAAAACTAAAACCATTTGGCAGGTTTAAGATTTGAGCTCGTATTACATATTATTATGTCATTTAATCTCTTTATCATCCAAACATTCTCCCTCACAGACAATGTCGGGATCTTTCCAGGAGTGCAGTGCAGGTGTGAAAGGGACTTGAGCTGCTGATTTTCAGTCGGATCAACAAGAAGAGAAAAAGCTGTAATGTCATAGTTTGAAAATAAAATAAAATAAATGATGCGCTTTTAAAGGTTCATTGTGCATGTATCTTGCTGTAGAAGTAATTTAATTATGGCCAAAGGGCACTCAAAGTGAAGAAGCAAAAATAATCCAAAGAAAGTTACAAAAAATGTCACACAAGACCTCATCTCAACAGTGCTATGTAGCAATGTCTCAAAACATATAGAAACTATGACAAGTATATTGTTGAGTTATCTCTGGAAAAAAAACAAGGATAAACTGCATGAAGCCAGAATACTTTTTTTAGCTTGGCTAAAACTTTCCTAACTTTTGTGTTAATGCTGCACTAAACTCAAACACAGACTCTCCAGGGTTCAGCATTAAACTTTAATCCATCTGTCCCACTTCAGAGTAATTTTCACGCTCTCAGAAGTCATAATCACCGACACAGACGTTGACTGGGAAGTGTGTCCTTTAACAGTATCGGTCACAGCGCTCCCAACACACCCTCTATCTCTGTGTTGGACACCAGGTCCCAGTTCTTCTCCGCCTCATTAGGCATATGTCTCATTTTCCATTTCAGACAAGAGATAGCACAAAACTGCACACAAAAGCACTATTTTTCCGGCCCTTCTGCTGATCTCGTCTGAAAGTCTAATGAGAGCGGATCAAATATAACTGACACCGAGGGGAGACAAAGGGAGACGTAGCCCAGGGTGAGAGATGAGGCGAGGCAGAACAATGGACCTGAATGTGCTGTCAATGCGGCGGTATGGAGCAGGACCAGTGAATGCAGATGATTCTGTAATGAGGGATTAAGTGGTGGATTAAGGGTCTTTATTAAGATGTTTCTGATCCTCATTAGGCTGAATCTCGTATCAGGGCATCGATTCCCCACTCACTCGCTGGATTGGCCTATCTCTGGAGGAAGAGGAAAAAGGAAAAAGAAAGAAAGAGTGAAAAAGGAGATAGAGAGACATGTGCCTCCATAATCCCCCTTTGGGAAATAAAACAAAAAAGAACTAGGCTATATGAATAATTACATATCTTCTTTGAAACAGCAGTGATTTCACAGTTAAATATCTTTTCAATGTGTCTAATTTTTTACATGTTTTTATTTCCGTTTAAACATATAGTTTATTTTTTAAGACTGGGCAGAACAGAAACGTGAATAAAACTTGACAGTCCCGTTTTAAATTGATGTAGCAAACACATAGTTGTTGCTCATAATGACATCCAGTAGCTACATACAATATGAAACATTAACATTGTTCATTTGAGGACAAGTTTTCAAGACATTTGGTGACTATAAGTCCAACTTTTGGGTCTTTAATCTTTGGTTTTGGCCTCTATCAACTCCAGGGGGGATTATCCATGTATTCAGCTGCCAAATGTTGGAGTTTGTTCATCTTGCTAGTTGCTAAATGTGTCTCTTTACTATGATGCTAAGCAGTTAGCATTCAGTGTTGTAGAGTTATATTATGACAACAGTATCTGGTGCATCTGATGTGGCTATGAGAGCAGGGAGAATTAATCAAAAAAAGATAAGTTGTGTTATTATGGATTTTCATTTCAGCAGCTTTAACCTTGTGCATGAAGTTTTTCTGTTAAGATTAAAAGCTTCAAAACCCTTATTGCAATGATAGCCAAACATGCAAACATCTTAACATTCTTACAATATATTGCTAACAAAATATTGTCAGCAGGTTTGATGTTTCCCATGGAAATGTAATAAATGTAACATGACAGCATGCTAACGTGCTAATAGGCTAATGAATGTTAAAGTCCAAAACACATTTCATCAACACATGTATTTATCTTGATCTTGTTAACTCAAAGCAAAGAAAAATCAGATTTCATAACTTTTTCAGCTATTCTGTTGGAAAATAACAAGATAGTTTGAGGTGAATAGTCAGGGGGCTACTTACAAAAAAACTGCTCAGTAACTTTTGAGATTGGATTTAAAGCTGTTGACGTTGTTTCCTCATTTCTTGATACTTACATATGTTGTACTTACTCTCTGATGTATGTCGCTTTCGACAAAAGCGTCTGCTAAATGAATTGAAGAATTGTAGGGTCAGGCACCAAAGTTTTGCATCATGCTGAGGGATACATCAGTGTCTGTGCCAAAACGAACTCCTATAACACATGACATTGCAATCAATCCAAATGGTCATGTTTTCTGCAATTAATATTGTCACAGTGCTTGTGAAATAAATGATTTCCGAAAAAATGTCAGGAGACTGCTTGTGTATTTGTGACTGCTCTGCTAATGTGATGCTGATGAGATCACATGACTGCAGAGAACATGAGTAAAGGAAACACCCAGACAAGCAGAAACAAACCCAGACGTACCAAACACAATATTTGCATCTCCTAACCACTCTAACAGAGCCTGAGGCCAAATTGAACAATTGAAGAATCTCGGTTATTCCAATATTTGTGACAATATGTGGTTGTATTGTGCAAGACTCTAGACACAACTGTTGGAATTTCTCACAGAATTAGACTAAACTTCCTGCCTTTCTAACTCACGGTAACAGTTGTAAAGCAGTTGCATTTTGGTCATGTTTAGCCTCTTGAAAGTACTTGATTAAACATAAAGACAGGTTTAATGAGTACTTGAATACAGTGTGCATTTTTCGGTCAAAATTTAGAGGTTGAAAGTCGTGTTTTCCCAAGTTGTGTTTGGTATAAAACTATGCAACACGTTTTGAGTTAGGTGTTCTTACATAGTTTTCTGTTTTACCATGCCTTGTTCAAGGTGGACAAAACGTTTGTCAGTGGACATGGATGTACACTGATGTGCCAAACTTTTACAATTTAAATTTTAGGACTATTTGAGCTTGATTCTGTATTCCAATGGGAGCCCTGTTCACAGCTGATTAGCCTAGCTTAGCTCAAGTGCTAAAACAAAACAAGCTAGCTGTCTGAAGACCAGAACACAACCTCTAATGATCCCTAGGGTTAAGGTTAGAGCATGTTGTATTGTATTGTTTTTTTATCTTTAAAGAAGAATGGGATATTTTACAGGATGTAAGGAAGTTCTTTGCTGGATTGTTATGTTATGTTTTTGATTTCCAAAATATTGACGTGAATTAAATCCCATTGATTTTTCGGTATATAATATTTGAAGTCATATAAAGCCAGTGATTTGGGGAGCTAGTTGAAGAGCATAAAAATTCTAAAGATGCTGATGGAAAATGAAAATAAGAATCAAATAAGCCTATGTAAATGAACACAGGGAACCATATCCTCTTTGTCTCTGTAAACTCCCTGTGAGTTTCAGCCAGTATAGGCTGAGTTAAGGTAAGTACAATTAAAAAAAAACCATTTGACACAGCAGCAGTTCATATTTTGACAGTTTTATTCAGTGTACACAGTTTAATAGCAGGAGTCGTTGATGTGCCTGATGCTCATGAACCTCATGCCGCTGCCGCCCATCTGGGAGAAGTTCCTGTACTCGCCAGGCCTCATGTAGATCATCCTGCCTCTGAAGTGGGCCTGCTCGTACATCAGCCAGTGGCCGTCCATCACGTTGCAGGACATGCAGTGGGGCATGCGGTAACGGTCCATGACGCTGTCGCAGTCCTCCATCAGCTCGTGCATCTGACCGCCGAAGTTCTCCCTCTCATAGATCTTCATCCTGAAGGATCCCCTGTGCTGTTTTCCAGAGGAGGAATGTGTTAAAGGCATTGTATTTCACAATTTTATCAAGGGTTTCGTATGAAAATAAATGATATGTTTCGCTTTTGTAAGTAAAACCAGCCAGAAGTGAGATCTCACCATTGGGATCATGCGGCAGGACCTGATGCATTCGCTCATGCCCATCATGCTCATGTAGTCGGCGTACTCGCCCCTCCTCATGAAGTACTGGTTGCCCATGTAGTTGTTGCGGTCGTACACCACGAAGCAGCCTCTCTCCACCCTGCAGGAGTGACACCTGTTCAGGTAGGAGGACATGTCTGGGCAGTCGCTCATGCACTCATAGGAACGACCCTGGAAGTTCCTCTCCTCGTAGAAGATGATCTGAGGGAGAGAGAGGAAAGGCCTTGATTAGCATGTGTAATGTTTATTAGATTTGTTGATTCTTGAAGGTGCACAGGATTATGTCTTATCAGGGGAAAATAGAAAAACAACTAACCTACAAGAAGATTATTTTTTACTTGTAAACATTTAAATATCATGGAAATTAAGAGCTTACCCTGCTCATCATGTTCATTCCAGTGGAAGTCATCTTGTTGGTCAGTGAGCTGTGCTGCTGCTGTTGCTGCTGCTGCTGCTGGTTTTTCACAAAACTGTACCGTTTCTGGTTTAACCCTTTCCTTTTATACCAGCGTCAAAAACTGGCCCTTTTGTCTAAACTTCCTGAGCCAGCAACAGCGTCATAGTAACGCGCCAGAATATGGAAGGATTGTCCACTTTTTCAGGGGCCAGCAGAGATTCTTTCACTCACTACGTTGGGGTCACAGGGTTGTTGAAAGGGTTAACAGATAGAGGTCACACTTTTTTTTCAATGTTATGTAAACTTTTTTGTCATCAGCAAAAAAAAAAACTGTTGTTTTTTGTTTCAGCCCACAGAATGTCATTTTAAAAGCCACTCTAGCATATATCAGTATCTAACATTATGAGTTAAGTAGGATCTTTGGACTGAATTTTCCTGATTTATGATAAAAATGTCCTTTTTTTATAAGCCCTCGGGTATCACACAGTCCAATTATTTGATTGTATTGAACAAATGTGCGTCATTTAATGAAAAATCTTTTTTAGGATTCATTTTTGTAAAATGACAAAATATTTGGAACTTTTTTGTGTTTGACAACACTCTCTGTTACCTGATATAGATCTCATTTTTGAATAAGAATTTTAAACTATAGCTCTGATTTGTTTTTAAGATAGTAGCCTATAGTATACGTAAAGATGAATTAGTTTCAGTTAGGTGTTTGCCTGTTGAAAGAATAAACATAATGTAAGCTAGTTTTTTGTCTCTTTAGAACTTTTTAATTTGAGACATTATATATACTTTTTTTTAAAAACCTTTAAATTGATAACTTCTGTGTTGTCACAACAATTCTAACCTCTGTGTTACCAAATGTTTTAGAACTGTGACATATGACACTATAAAAACACAGTTGGACATTATGAATGGCTTGAGTGGAATAATTTATTTAAAGGCAATGAGCATATTTTACTGACGAGTTCTGTACATAAAATTAGTGAAATAAATCAATTTGGCTGTTTGTTCACTTTATTTTATTGAACACTGCCTCAATTTAACAAACTGCAAATCTGGATTAACATAGCAAAACAAATAAAGAATGAATCCAATCATCAATCCGTCTATCTTAATTATTATGAATTGAATGCTATTAAATATAATTTTTACAAACTGAATTAAATCGTATCTTTTTTTTCAAAAACCCTTTATACGTCATTTAAAATAGTTGCTTTTAAGTCAGAAAAGGAAGTAGGCCTACCGAAACACATTAAAAAGGCAAATTAAACAAAAGATAAATAAATTACAAACATAACACAATAATAAAATGTTTAACAGGGAAAACACAAGACAGTTCAAAACATAGGTATAGAATAATTTACATCAATGGTGAAACATACTGAGGTAGATCACAAAAACTCGGATGCATTGCAGGTGAACTTCTAAGCACAAGGGGGCGCTGTGACGTCACCCCGCGCTCTGTGACGACTCTCTTGTCCTGGTAACAGAGAGTGTTGTCAAACGTTGCTAAGGAAGTAGTCGAGCTAACGATACTTTTAAATCAGCCGGCCTGGCCACCAAACACCAGTAAACGAGAGGTAACATTACGTCAAGTGGTAAGTCAGTTTGAAAATCTCGTAAATCGGACGATATCAACACCAATGGGTTATAAATAAGATCTAAAAGGTTGCTTTCGTCGTTAGCTCAGCTAGCTTCTTGTATACCGCTAACTGTTTAATAATATAATATCTGCCATAACAACAATGTCAGCTAATGTGAGCACCGTGTACAATTACTTAGAAATCACAGTGCTGTTAGTAAACTACTTTTAAAACAGAACCACTTAGATTAAGATGATTTCAGTTTAAATCGCTGAGGCTACAATAATTTAGCTTCTGCTGCTAGTAACTTTAAAATCACAATGTTATCACTCATGTTGTCTACATGTTGTGTCTTTGCCTGCTGATGGGGAAAGAGGAACTTAACAGCGCCATACACCTTCCCTACATGGCTTAACTAACTCGTTTAAATGACCAGTGTTTCACTCAATCATTGTCTGCCCTGTATGTTTAGGTGGATGTCAGTCAATAATGAGAAAGCCCAATCCACCTGACCACAGCTGGTCACATGGCTGGACATGAGAGGATGGGTGACAGTCTCCTCCGTCAGTACGCTGAGGCTCCTGGTCAAGGGGACCCAGTTGTCGTTGACAGCAGGGCGCTCAAGACCCCCTTAGTGACCGCCAAATTCAGCAGGGAGCCCAAGGACGCCCTTAAACTCAGTGCCACATGCGCAGAGGGAGCGGTCAGTCCATACCAGCCTCGACCACCCTCACAACCCAGGCTGTCCGGCAAAAGCTGCTCCGTGGAGGAGAACCTTATAACCAGGAGGCTGAAAAATAGCCAGGAGAGTCTCAGTGACCCAACTGAAACTGGCTCCTCTACAGACTCGCTCAGAGAGGACCAAGCAGCTCTTGTTGCGGGCACGTTGCTTCTCAGAGGTGCCGCCACCATCAGGAACAGCAAGGACGCCAATGTGAGACCTGTCTCCGCCGTAACGAGAGGATCCCCAGTCTTCCGGGACAGAGGGAGAAGCCTCTCTGAGTATGAAAGGAGGCCCACCAGCCAGCAGAGCGACCCTGTGGACCATCTGGTGAGGCCCGCCAAGGTGCGTCTAACTCCAGTGCAACCCACCGGGACGCTGCCTGCTCTCGAGAAGAGCTTTGCCACTTTAAGGGCGGCTAATAGGATTGACAGGGATTGTTTGGATTATGCCGTGTTGGCCAGAGAGAAGCATGGGGAGAGACTCCACAGGAACCTGAGCGACAGTCGGCTCCTGGAGAACATGGGGTCGGATAGTGCCTCTGTCAACTCCATGAGGTCCAATTATAGCGTGCTGAGCCCCATCAGACCCCAGGATGTGAGGAACAGGTACAGTAGGCGAAGCAGACGACAAAGATAATGCACCGTACCTGTAGATATGCTTAGGCTCTTCAGTGAGGTGTAATATCTCATTCTGGTGTCCGAAGTCTATTAAGAAGAAGCCGGCCTCTTTTAATGGACCTGAGCTCCTCATTTTAATGTGGTCTAGTGACAAAATAAAGCAATCCACATGAATGTATTTGTTTACTTTGCAGCAATATTATAGTTTTGTTGTAATACATAAGATTTTTTTTTTGTTATGTCAGTATGAACCGTTTATTTATTCTCATACTCAAAGAAAATTGCTCAAAAGAATCTTACTTTGCACCAATGAATAGGTAGAGTATCAAATAGCCACTGCAAGATATTTTGTAAAACTTGTTGTCTCTGCTTGGAGCTGATTAGATTAACACATCTGGAGTACCGGTAAGTGTTTTAGAAGCACCAACAGATTCAATCGCCATTGACACATGATCAGAGGGGATGTTTGTTTGAAACAGCTTTTGACAGAAGGACTTCCAAAAAATTGTGTCTTAGTGTATTCTCACACAGTTGATGCCCAAAGGAAGATACAGCAACCAATCACTAGAGATGTTATCTCACCATGAGCAGGCAAGTTAATAATACGGTTAATATTTTTTGAGAGTTAACCATTAATCTACCATGAGCAAGCTCCTGGTGTTAGCTTTGTGTTGCTTTCAGCTCATAGGGCACTTTGAGGTCTTTGAGATGTAAATGGCTTTGACAGTTAAGGGTTTATGTAAATGAAAAAAACAACAACAACATAATTACATGACTTTTGAGACAACCGCCTTGCTTTTTCCTACACTGAACTTGGATGCCAGTAGGAATGCTAATTTCCCGTGTGTTTTTGTGGTGTGGGTTTTGTTTAGGAGCTTCCTGGAGGGAAGTGTGCTGGGTAGTGGAGCTCTGCTGGGGGCCGAGGAGCTGGACCGCTACTTTCCAGACAGGAGACTGGGCATCTACGTCGCCACATGGAACATGCAGGGGGAGAAGGTAGGAGGAAACCAGGACCCTGTAATGTCTCATATGCCAAGGAACATTTACAAGCCATTTTCCACATACGCACTTTGAAAAAAAAAATTCTAGAGAATTTCATGAAATCCTCCTGTTCGGGGTGGTGGGGTCTCCTGAGGCAAGACATGATGTAAAAAGAACAACATGGAAGTGGCGGACAAAGCATCGGAGTCCGCTATATGGCACTATAATGAGAATATTTGCCTTTATATTAATGCTATATGTAGTTTGACAAAATCACAATATCAACCAAAATGTGGAGAAGAACATACTGATGAACAGAAAACATGATGCAGCAGTTTAATCACGTGCACCGAGGTCACCATGCTCACCTGCAGACAGTCTATGGTCACGCACTGGCAGAAGAAACTCTGGATAAAGTCTTTTTTTTGCGTTCACACATGCAGCTCACCCTGAAAAACCCCCAGGAATCCTTAAGGAGTGACCACGGCTTAAGTCTCAGCACTGCCTGCGTAAGTTAAGGTATACTGAGTCAAAGTCTCTGTCTTTTTCAGGGGCTTCCATCCAACTTAGACGACCTCCTCCTTCCAACAGACTCGGAATTTGCACAAGACTTTTACATCATTGGGGTCCAGGAGGGATGTCCTGACAGGTAAATATGATTTGAAATTAAATGAGCCATTTAATGCAAGGTATAAATGATGGCTGCATTACATAATGTGATTGTGTGTGCAGGAGGGAGTGGGAGACCCGTCTTCAGGAGACTCTGGGACCTTACTATGTCATGCTGTATGCAGCATCACATGGTGTTTTGTATCTAAGCGTGTTTGTCAGAAGAGACCTCATCTGGTTCTGCTCAGGTCAGTCTCATTTAAAACCACACAAGGTAGACATCAGTTAGGTGTTAAACTCTTCCTTTATCTTTGATTTCACTTTTTCTACTGAAGGTTTATAGAAGAATATACTTGAATATGATAATGGCACATTAGTCTTAAAAACAAACTTTACACCAGAAACTAGATCATCCCTTTACACTACAGATGCATATTTGCATGTTTTTCTTTATTATTTGAATACAACTGGTTGGTTACACGTATGGCTCTGACAGTAACCACAACATCTGCTCTGTTGACCCACACAGAGGTAGAGCATGCCACGGTTACAACCAGGATCATCTCCCAGATCAAAACCAAAGGCGCTGTGGGACTGGCTTTTACGTTTTTCGGGACTTCTTTCCTTTTCATCACATCCCATTTCACCTGTGAGTAGAAGGTTTTTCCTCAAAGTCGGGACCTGAAGCAGGGATTGATCATTGTGGGAGGCTCTTATCAGTATGGCTGTAAAAAGGACTCGTTGGGAATTTGTACTACAGCTACATTGGGAAATTAGCTTCTTCATAGCCAATAAAATAAAACATATTAATTTAATAAGATACAAATGTCTGTTGTGAAATATACCAAACAGCTTTTAAATCTGCTCTTAGGATTAGATGTTTGCATTTACACTTTTCTACTTTGAGCGCTAGAAAATCTTGTGTTTCTTTTGTGTTGTTCTGTTCTCCTTCCAGCTGGAGATTCCAAAGTTTACGAGAGAATACTGGACTACAACAAGATCGTTGAGGCTCTAGCTCTTCCAAAAGGCCTTCCAGACACCAACCCATACCGCTCCACCCCATGTGAGACTCTTAAGAGACTTTGGAGTGGACAAATCAAACCCATTAGAACTGAGGTGTTTTTGTTCCAGAAGCATAAAAAAATGATGCACTCAAACCTTTAGGATGACACACCTGCATTTAGCGTCATGTTCTGTGTAAACATATCTTTATCAGACACATAACAATCTTTTAAAGATTTAAATACAAAAGATGAAGATGTACTGAAACTGGATTCATGCACATTCACAAATGATGGTGAAGCTCAACCCTGTTAAGCACATTTCCCACTCTTTATGAAGAGATTAAAACTGCTTAAAACGAGATGAAAATATTTTCAGGTGGAGTAATTTTGGCACATTAGGTTTGAACAAAACGCTTCATCCTTTTCCGAAAAAATGTTTAGTGATTCAAATAAAATGTCGTTATTAGCATTCTAGGGATTAAAGCCTTGATATAATTTTTTAAAACATGGCTTCAATAATGAAAATATCTTTTTTTAATCGTAGCTGACGTCACGACAAGATTTGACCAGGTCTTCTGGTTTGGAGATTTCAACTTCCGAATCAGTAAAGATCGGGTTGATGTGGAAAGCATGATAAACCGCACAGTAGGGGAGAATATGGGCCCTCTGTTGGAGCACGACCAGCTGTCCAAGGAAATTAAAGAGGGTATGCTTGTCTCGTAGGAGGATACATCTTACATAGAGAACTTCTCTTAGAAGTAGGAGTCGTTGTTCCATTCATTCTCACCCTGCAAACTTTTTCCCCTCAAGGTTCAATCTTTAAAGGTTTCCAAGAGGCCCCGATACACTTCCGCCCTACATACAAGTTTGACGTGGGCTGTGATATCTACGACACTACTTCTAAACAGAGGACGCCTTCATACACAGTAAGAAGAAGAAAACAAGATTTACATGGCTGTAGATGAATAGTTATAGATATAATAAAAAAAAATTAGCAGGGCAGTTTAACGTTGTGTCTCTCCTGGAGGCTAAAATGTATTTTTTCATGTTCACAGGACAGGATCTTGTTCAGGAACAGGCAGGCAGATGACATAAAAGTGGTCAAGTACACCAGCTGCTGCGGCATCAAGACCTCAGACCATCGACCCGTCATCGGGGTCTTCCAGGTCAAACTAAGGCCAGGCAGAGACAAGTAAGTCCCAATGCCTTTTTAAAAAATCCCTTAAAGGGTCAGGATGTAGTATTTATAGGGATATATTTGCATAAATTTAAGAAGAGATTCATAAACTTTTGTTTTTATTTGTGTATAATACCTGAAAAGTTCCCTCACTATAGACAGGCCAGAAATGACAAATGAAAGAGCAGCTCTAGTGAAGGCCCTTAGCATTTGTCTTGAGTGCCACAGCTTCTGTAGGTTCTCCTGGATGCTTCAAACAGGAGGCTGAGAGATGTGATTATTAGTTGGTTGTAATTCACATCCACACCTCTAGATGTCACTCAATCTTACACACAGGTCCTTTTAAAACATTGTCATCTTGTCTGTTATGCTCTTGACAATATACTGATGGTCAGAAACCAGCAAGGTTAAGCCACACATATATAAACACTGTAATAATATAATTACCAATACTTATAAACACTATTGTCCTAATTGATAAGTAGTTACTTTTTTCCAAAACTTCAGTACATTAAGGGAGCTTTCATGTGTTCAATTATTGTAGTTGTATTCTTACAAGATGATTAGCTTTTTCTTACTTTAATATATCCAACCAAGTTGTGTGTATTATCCAAGGCAGTAGTTATCATACTAAGTATCCCCTTTCACTGGTTTTCTTTGCATTTTATTTAAACCCTGAGTTTTACACCTGCTTTCTTTAGGGCCCGTTGAACATGTGATGGACTACATTTTTTTGTCTGTGCTTTTCAGTATTCCCCTTGGTGCTGGCCAGTTTGACCGAGGCTTGTACTTGGAGGGCATCCGGAGGAGGATCACCAGAGAGTTGAAGAGGAGGGAGGCCATGAAGAACCAAGGTAGCAGCACGATCTGCACCATCTCCTGAAACCCTTCAGATTCGCTCAGCAGTCCAGACTGGATTGTATCGAAACGGTGCCAGAAACTGGAATGTAAAACCAGGCAGGAAAGCAATTGTCTTCACGACATTTGGCGTAACCTGGTACAGGACGGCAGTGGGACTGAGCAGGGTGCGCCCTCTGTTGGGCATAATTGGGAACATTGCATGTGTCTGATTGTCCTGTCGGAGGGGGCTGGCTGTTCTTGAGGGCAGGGACCCTGAGGTCAGAGGGACTAAAGGTTTGCAGACACAGCAGTCTGGTCTTTATTTATTCTGCCCCCCTTAACTCAAACAGGAATGGGTGGGGGGGGGGGGGGGCTGCCGCTGTGGCTTACTCTTCAGTTACATGCTCCAGTGTGAACTGGTCTTTGTGTAGCTGCATTCATTCACCCATTTTTTTTTTTTTAAAAGCATCATGAACTACAAGGTAACATTTTCTAAAGCTACATCAGTGTTCAAATGCTTTTTTTTTACTCATCAAGCAGCTTACAAAACATTCAGTTTAGGTTTCAGCCATTGATTGATCTGAACTTGAATTTTAGTCCCAAGCTAAATGTTTTTTGGAGAGATAAAGTATGACTGAAAAAGGGAGCTTTAGATCAAATGTTATATAAATAGCACAACAGTGAAAAACACTAGTCAGGAGATTGTTACTACTCGTAATATGCTACTGTTGGATTTCAGGGGATATGTATAAAAGCACTAACTCTACTATTAAAGACAAGTTTTATTGTTAACTCTATCACTACTTTTCTCTTATGAGGCAAAGTGATTCTTTACATCAACCTGTAACACAGTGCCTTACCGCTCTCATTTCTCATTGCAGTGTAACTTAATAACTGTGCACCATGTACTGTATGTACCACATTCATTGTGGACTAGCATTCCCAGCATGAACAGTTTAGTCTGCTTCAGAAAAAGTGCCTGTGGGTCTTCTTTGTTTCTTCAGGGCCACTAACATTTCAGTCTTTTTATATGTCCACTAAGATCCTGTAATAAATGTTTTTAAACACACTGGTCTGTTTGTAAATTCTGTTCCATTACACTCAAAAGCAAGCACCTTAAAATATACAATTTTATTGATGGAAGTCATTACATTTACCTGTTGGTACAGAGATGTTACGAGCCACATTCACTGCTGTAGAAATAGACTCGGGTTTATTTGTAAGGAAGACTTAAGCGGACATTCATACATATATTTTACTCAATTTGCCTGCGATATCTAGTGATTTACATTTTTTTCTTGAGATCGCAAATATACTTCTCTTGTTGTCTTGGGACTATAATGCTGCTGAGTCATTTCTTGAGACTTTGACGAAACTGCTGAATTAGCTCGTTATCACATTTACACCAGCATTGTTATCCCGAGACGACAAGATTATTCAGTTGACACCTAAAGAAAACAAAATCTAATCGTTATCATGGAAAAATATATGGATCTATGTCCACTTACGGCTTCCATGTATTTGGGTGTTGAACTAAAAAATGTTATTTATTTTATGGGGAAAGTGCAAGAACTTGAATTCTAAAAAAATAAAAAACCATGATTTCAGTCTTGAGGACAGCATGTCAACGGTTTGAGGTGAGGTTTAATGATTTATCCAGAACTTTATTCATTTTATTATGTTGCTGTGTATAGTGTTGCGTTATACTGCCTGTGCATTGTACAGAGGAGTATCAGGACCAGGCATATTAAAACACTTAAAGGATTTCAATTTATTCTTAAAAAAAATGTAAATGTGGAGATTAGGTTGAAATATGAAGAATTAAGTCAAACTAAGCCTGCCAAGTTAAGGAAACATTTTTTTTACGTTAAGACCTTCCTCTCAAGATCATTTTCACCATGTAAACTGGATTCTCATTATTTCTTATGTGTGCATTTTAAACTACAATCTCAACTATAAGCTATACATTTGGATTTTTCTTCTCAAAATAAAAACATATAAGTCTCATCCACTCGTTGTTTCTTGGTACCTGGCCCTCACACTCTTCTGTAGAACTGAGCTAATTAAGCGCTTTTGAATAAATAGTTTTGAATCTTCTTTTGGTTCCATCCACGGGTGGCGATCTGTTAGAGCAGTGTAGACACAGCTGGGGATGTCAAACAAGCCCTTCTCTTGACTATATGTTGAGGATGATTCTACAATGAAATGCCATACAGTACATGATTACATTTTAACCAAACAGGTTGGGGAAGGTGGTATTAAAAGGGAAATAAACATTTTAATTTAGTTTCTGGGAGAATTGTCCATTTTACATCAAAAACTCCTGCAAACCACCTCAGTAAATAATGAAATATGGCTTCGTGCTCACTCACAATAAATACAGAACCTCTCACTGTATAAAGACTACGATACTGAAGAGTAAAATGTAGCTTGTCTTTAAAATCCCCACTGTGATCGGTGGAGAGCCCGGGTATTAGTCCCCTCCCAGAGAGAGCTATGTTGAGTTCTGTGTACGTTGGAGGGAACACTAGTATAATCTTTCAGTCCAGCTTATTTACACTGATGTTTGCTTGTGACGACCAGCTCTGTGGCCATGTGGATCTATCGGAAGAGGCGATAAACGCGGGGCAGACGTCCGTCCTTGCTGGACAGGGCGGCCTGGATGTGTTCATATGAGGGCAGCTCTGTCAGGTCTCCCAGAGCGGCTACTGCGGGCTTGCTGCGCAGCATCTTGGTGGTCACTCTCTTAATGTCACTGGCTGACACGTTGCCTTGAAAATAATTGTGAAAAATCAGAAAAGAATAAAGATGATCAGGTTGAACAGAGACCGTCCCACAGATAGCTCAAACAGGTAAGTATTGCTTACTTTTATCACCTAAGTTTGGATGTTTTGCTTTTTTTCTCTCAGTTTCTGAAGGACATTTTTAGGGGACATTCCCATGACTTACGATGAAATACTTAAAATACTATGCTTTTATTCAATACTCACTAATTAGATCACACAGTTCATGTGGCAGCTTTCTCTTTCCCGTGGAGAGAACCTGGCGACCCACATCTTCAAAAATGACCGGCCGTGACTCAAGGTTCATCATCAACATGGACTTAAGCTGAGTCTTCGCTCTCTCTAGCTCCATCTGGATACACAAAGATACGATAACATGATGTTTGGTTCTTTACATCAATCTTGCTTAAGTAGTAGTCTACTGCCTACATTGCCTTACCTCTCCTGCATTGCCAGCCATCTGAATGAACTCTCTGGTTATTATTTCCACCATTTCCGCACCTAGATATGAATTTAATAAACAACAACATTCACATAGATTAATGGATTACACGGTACAATTAGACATCTGATCTTTGCGGTTCTGAGCCTGTACCAACCTGTCTGGGGTCTGAACTGGCATGGATACACAGCAGACCACTGTCCTCATAGCTATGGTGGTACGAGGTGGCATTATACATCCAATGATGTCTTCAACAGACAAAGAAAGTGACAATTAATAAACTGATGTGATATACGGGGGACTTATGATCAGCTGAAACACTGCTGTAAGGAGACACTCACCTGTTGAGCACATTCAGATACAGACGGGTGAACATGCCTTTTCCAGGTCCGCCTGCAGAAAATGAGCCACCTCCACCCATCATCATGTTGAGAACTGCGAATGGGATAAAGTCGTCCTCCTGTGAAGAGACATCATATTTTTTTTATCATAATGCTGGTTGTTAACGTGGCTCCGGCTCCTGATTGAAGACTGATGGAGATGGTCAGGCATGGTTAACACCTACCAGGAAGGAGCAGCTCTCCAGGCCGATCATGATGTGGGTGAGCTCTGGGATTGGGGTGGGGCCAAGGCTCACATCTGACATATCCTTCTCCATCTGACAGAGTTAGAGTAGACTTTATTATCATACCTTTGTAACTGATTTCTTTTGAGGAATTTCACAAATGAAAAATCTGCCAGATAAATTCTATTCGAAGAAGCTTCTAGGGCCTAAAAGGTGATTTGTAAATAATAAAACCCATAAAATCACCTTCACAATGCCACCAGTGTACTGTGCAACAGAGAGGTCCACATTTGCCACTGAGCTACGTCCCCACACTGGTGTCACATCCAGCAGGTATTTCCGGGCACATTCAACCAGCTGCTCGTGCTCGATGCCCACTCCAGCCAGCACCATCCGCTCAGGGCTGTAGTAGTTACGCAGGTAGCCGTGGAGCACGTTCTTGTCAACCTTATCCACATTATGGACGGGACAAAAACGAGGCAGTCCCACTGTGTTGTTCTGATATGCAGCCTGGAAACAAACACAATAATGTATAAAGCCAAGTATATATTCAGAATGTTTACCTTCATGAACAAAGTATAATAGCTCTAAGTCATTGTAGTCTCAACAAAAACATGGACGCAACTCGTACTTATTGTAGAGACCAGGGATGACATTGCTCCTACTTGTCCTGTCTCGAAAATTCCCCCCTTTGTAACTAATGCAATTCACACTACTACTACTAGCTAACAGGAGCAGGTTTAATATAGTTTTTTCTGCTTATTAATTACAGTCTTGCTGCTTTAAGGGTATGGAATAATGTATTAACATACACCTGGCTAGATTGCCATGGTAACATAATCTAAACTCATCCCCTGTTCAAAGTTATGACTTTAAATTAGCTGTAAAGTGCCATTAATTCAATCTCAAATCAGATCTTTAAATGTCAGCAGATCATCCCCATAGTTAATTAATGATGAGGCTACAGCATCTTTTTTTCCTATTATCCTGGAAATTCAGTTTGACTGCTGATTTGACATTGAAAACAAGTAATCAGTTATTTTTAAGGTATTTATCATATATTCAATCCAAGCAGTATATTAATTTGAATTCAATTTGGCGACACACCGGAGTTATTTTCACAAATTGTACATGAGGTGTAAGTATACGACCTTCATTCAGTTCCTGATGATACAGCTGAACTCATGTGTATCGTTGTTAAAGTTGAAGAGATGTGTGTAAGTGTCATATTATAAATAAATGGGGACAATGACAGTTTATCACACTGCAATATAAACAAATCAACTAATAGTTAAAATAGTTAGAGTTAAAACAATCATTTCTTTACAGCATTCCTCTCCTACCGTAATACCCAATAACTTTGACTAAAACTTCAGGCTTTGTTGAGCCAGCTTCCTCAAAGAAAGCCTGGGTGTGATGAATTTGAACATGTGGTATACCGCTCTGGTGTCTAAGGTTGTAAACAAATGACGTGACTCACAGCATGGATCATCTCAGTCAGTAAGGGTTCAGGATCTGGCCTCATGTTCAGATCTTCTAACTCGAAGCGCACCGCCATTCTGGTCATCTCGATCTCTTCATCTGCACAATAACATCAGAAGAAAAAGTTTGGACGGGCAGATTCAAGATTCAAAGTTTTTTACTTTTCACATGCTCACAAAGATGTGCAGTGAAATGTGGAACGCAAGGCCATGCAATAAACATGTAACAAACATGTATGTCATGTAACATACAACATACTCACCAAGCAGACGAGGCTGTAGAACAGCATCAGAGAGAAGACTGACCACCGTGTCCAGTCCCTTCACCTCAGCAGACACCGCATACATTGTAGTGTCTCTGCAAAGCATCATGGGAACATAAATAATCACAGTATAAAATATACTCTACAATAGAAAAGCCATGTCCACAGACTCATTACAGTTTATAACCCTGAGACATGCACTATGCTGACAGATGGCATACCTGGATGTTTGGCAGTCACATATCCCTCCATGTTTTTCCAACGTGAGGAGAATTTCATCTCTGCTCCCATACTGAGCTGTGGACTGAAGATGGGAAAAAAAAAACACTGTGGTCATTATAACATCACACACCACAACATTCTTTAACTTTCATTTTAAAGGTCTTACTTACAGAAAAGGCGAGTTTCTCTACAAAATGTGCTATTCCACTCGGGTACTTTGCTTCATGTCTGGATCCAGAGTTTACTAAGACTAAAAGTAAGAAAGAAAAACAAAAACATCTCATCCACTTCAGCGAGATACTGAAGACTAGTGGTTATTATAGTTTGCATATCAAAAGGCCACCACTTACTCCCAACTGTGCAGAATTGACCAAACTTGTTTTGAGACGCAACTTTGAGGCCATTTTCTAGTGTAGTGATCCTGGTCTCGTATTTTTCTTGACCATCCGCCGATGCAAACACCGGCTTGGGGATCCCAGGCAGCGGTGACGACAGTGCGATATTAGGGTATCCGCTGCCACTGCTGTACTTTCTGTAAGCTGCGATCCCAAATCTTAAAAGAACAAAAAAAGTTATGTGCAGTATGATGTTTGGAAAAACTTTTTTTGAATCCTAACTTTGAGCAAAGTAGCTGAACCGCAAAGTGTACGCGGTTCTACCAGGAACTTGTTTTTTGTTTCGTTGCCAAGCCACCATGAGCCTCTTACAACACTTCTAATGATTCATTCAGCTAGTAGCGTTCTTAATCACACGTTTTCTGATGATACAATATATATACAAAATGTTTGGATAACAATATTTATGTGTTGATATGACACATCTGAAATTATAACATAATTATTAAATGATATTGAGATGTTACAACAGTCTGATTAAGTACATGTTACATTTGTATCTACTTAAAAAAAACACCTAAAATATTATTTGAAGATGGTATTACTTAAGTCCTTTTCTAAATAGAAAAAGAATAAAACTTTAAGGCAACATTTCTCTTTTTCTTTCCTTCAGGCACTCTGCCAGGTTTATTGAGTTTCTGAGGACTTTATCTCTTAACAGCATTGTTTGCATTTAGTATCTAGCATGGGTCTGTCAACACTTTATTTCTCAGAAACCCAAAATATTTCCACACTGCTGTTTTATATTCGGGAGGGGAGAAAATGTGTTTATATGTTCTTCTTAGCAATAAGTAAGGTCTTTTACCTGCTTTTTGTAATGTTAACAGACAAAGAGTAAGGTATTTTACCTGCTTTTTGTAAAGTGTCTTGAGATAACACTTTTTATGAGTTGACGCTATACAAAATAAATTGAATTGAATTATTGGCTGCTTGCCATTATGTTTCCAGTGCACGTGTTACATCTGTGAAGCTTTACATTCCTACTGGTAGTACACAGTTTTATTTTCACTACGTCGTTGTTTAAGACGTTCTATCATATTAAAATAGCATTACGTTAAACAATGTAATAAATGTAATGAAAACATGCAGCGGACATACATAAGAGAAAATGTAAAAGCAGTTTTGCAGATCCTTTGGAGGGTTATTCAAGTTTGACAATTAGGGAAAATAGATTCATTCAACACACGCTTCAACGCTATTTAGTATCCCAGAGCTGATACTGAGAGATATGCCCTCAAAGTATGACTGAGTGTTTTGATATTGTAGAGATGAAACGTTATCGACTAAAGGCACAAAAAAAGTTTAATTAAGTAAATATCTACAAACCACTGAGCAGGCCAAAGTATACTATAGGACAGGGATGGGGCAACTTTGGTCACGGCAAAGGGCAACATTCAATTAATTCTCCCCGCCAAAGGGCCAAATTGTAGTGTACAAAAACGATCAATTATGAGTCAATTATCAAAAAATTTATTTTATTTTATTTGTGGTTGTCATGATTTCATGGCAGATTTTGTCACATTTTCTTCATGTTTCCAATTCATTGATATGTAAAAAAAAATTGACCTGAGGCCTTTTTTACGTGTCTCTATTTTTATTTTTTTTTCTTCATTAGAGAGAATAGTGGACAGACCCAGAAGTCGGGGCAGCGAGATGGAGGAAATAATGAATTAGTGTACTTAATTATCATTTGTAATCATGCCTAACTTAGCTATAACTAATGCAGTCCTGCAACAAAACTTCATGAAGGATAAAAAGTTTTTCTAAGATGTAGCTGTTGTTTTTATAGCAATGCCAATAAAGATATTTTATATTCTATGAATTTAAGAAATGTTGGTTCAACCTCAGTTTGTGGCACTGCTTAGTTGTATTTTGGATAGTGAGGAGTGTATGCTAATTTTCAGTCTAAAGCCATTGAGCTTACATGCACTTTAAATACCAAGCACACCTGTGGACTAGTGGGGCAACAATTCAAACATAATTACAGAGTTGTGCATGTTAATAGTTAAAGTGTTCAGAAGTGTAAGAGCCCAAATAAATCATCAGCACAGCTCCATCATGTTCATACTGTCTACATCTCCACAGAAGAACCTCAAAACGCTCTCATTATTATCAATACGTTTAGTTATCTTTAACTGTAACAACATGTATGTATGATGTCACATCAGCCAAGCTCTCCTGACTGCAGCACTACACCTTGTCTGACGGCTAACACTTAGCATCGTGCTAACTGAGTAAGCTAATCTTCAGAGATGAGGACGAAGAAGTGAAAAAGCTGCAGGTGACAAGCTGATGCATGACACGGAGATTGTTTAGGAGACTCTTTGCGATGTCTTAATGTCGTTAATGAGAGCCAAGCGGAGAGATAACGGCGTTAGTTGCAAAATTAGTTCTACCTTTGAACACGACTCCAGGTTCTGCACCTCGACATGTGAGTCGCCATCTTGGATCCTCTGTGACCAAAATTCAACCCGGAATATGATGAAATGTTGCAGGAGCACTTCCGGAAGAACAACACACCCACATCTCCCAGGTCACAAAAAAATAAAATAAATAATAAAACATAATTATAGATAGATAGATAGATAGATAGATAGATAGATGTTTAGATAGATAGATAGATAGATAGATAGATAGATAGATAGATAGACAGACATATTGTGGTGTTTTAGTTTGACTTATTCTAATTGTATATTAAAGTCCCTCAAGAATTTGTGTCACATTAAAATAAGTTTTAAAACACCTTTCAATAATTAAAAAAAAATGTATGAATAGAAAAGTGCCTTAGAGTCTCTGAAATACTTGAATTATATTTTGGATGAAACACCCTTGACCTCTAGTGTCCTATCTATGATGTCTGTTCGTTGCCAACCTGAATCGTATCTATTGTCTCACATATATATTCACTAGTATCTGTTGTTGTTAAGCATCAACCACGTCAATATTGGCCCTAGAGTCCAGTCCAACAGTTTGCCCATTTAGTGCTCTTTTCTTTGCAAGGATGCAGATTTTTTTATAACGGCACAACAACTCTATATGTGTCTGTTTAATTTGGGGTCTGGCATCCAAACAAACAAACAAACAATTGATCCTCCAGAGTGGTCAGCTGGCCAAGAGCGTTTAGAAACCAATCAGCCAATCAATTTGGACACAGAAGTAGGCCAGCTCTTAAATAACATTTCCAACTCTGTACCTTAGTTAGAAACATGCTGGAGCTGCTGAGCTGAGGGATTTAACAGGACTGTGACACAATTAAATCAAAATGTACTCCAGCTTGCAAGTCACCACAGTTTTATTTTTGATTGCTCTGCCTTCAGACAGCAGCTCGGCCTACGAGCTCCATGACACTATCCACACTCTGAAAGAAGAAAACCTTCACCTGCAACACCGACTGGAGAATCTCGCTCGAGCTCTCAGAGATTTGAAACATCTGCTGATAGAGCACTCTAAAGGTAATGGCAAAGTTATTTGTTCAGTGAATATGCATATTTACATTTTCTGAATAGAAGTTCTAATCAGTAATTTATGACTTATTTGCCGCAGTTTCTGGGAGGGAACATGAAACTGAGCTTCTAAATGCCTGGAAGGAATGGTCCCAAAATGGTAACCTCTCCCACTGAAGTTAGATATGATGAAACAGATTCTGTCAGATTCTGACGTCAGTCCATGGCTTGATGTGTTCTGCAGGCATAAGTACTGAGACCACCAGATGTTGCAGCAGGCTCTCTGTTTAACAGAGCTCCAAGCAGCTGCCCAGCCGATCTTCAGCGTCAGGCAACCCTCTCCTCTTCCTCTCATCTCTGGTTTCCATGATTCACCTGCTGCTGATGTGACTCAAAAACAAACATCCATCATCATAAAGCTTTGAGACAGATAGATAGATTATTTTATTTATGTTCTCTCTTGGTCTAAATGATGTGTTTTTTGTCACAGCCTAATGATTTAATTAGTATGTATTAAAACACTTCTTTGCATCGTTTTGATCTATTGGGTGTAGAGTTACAAAGATTATTTTCCGGTCTGGTGCTTTTTTAACTTGATGTCAGACAGTAATGATTATTAAAGTTGACCCGTCCATCTATAGTATTTACTTTTAGGAAATCCAAAACAAATCCAATACGATTTAATGATATTAATTTACAACCTTTTTCATGAAAACCACAAGACTAAAAGTCCTTAAACAAACAAACATTCATTCTAATTTGTCAACACTTCAATCAAAATGGTTTTTAATATGATGTTATATTAAATGACATGCATGCATCTGCTGAACACTATACCAGATGGTGAAAACTAAAAACAGAGGGATAGAGATAACAGAAGAGAAGACAGAATTTACCCTCCTTATGAGTCATTAAAAGTAAGATACATACCAGTTGATGTTATTTATAATAATCAACAAGTGTTACTTCTATACTGCACCATTTCTCAACATTAAGAAGAGCCAATGGGTCTCAGTCGCAAAGAAACGCATCTGTCTATTTATATGAAACTCTGCTTTCACACAGGGATGCTGCATGTCCTTTGGTGGATTTATGTGTTTGATGTTTTCCTGAATCCAGCAGTGTTACATTTTGCCGTCTTTGTCTGCTTAATTAAAATGACCCTTCCTGCATAGATTATAAATTGGTGCATTTGTACTTTAATTTCCATTTGATTATGCTGAATGGATGGCCAATTTACATTTGCAAGGACTTCATCTGGCCCTAGTAGACATGTGGCGAGACTGTGGTACTTTAGCTGTAGACATCCATGTAGAAAAGTGTGAGAAAAGCCACTGCGTAGACACGGCAAACCTCTGTTTATTATGTAGGCCTCCTTATCCTATTTTAACATATAAGAGATCACTTTATGGTTGAAACAAGCCTAAGAGTCAGCAGACGTACATTTCTTAAAGTACTAAAGTGTTTGTTTGTTTTTGTTTTTAGCTACATGCTAATTTCAGCATGGCAGCACACTCTGGAAAATTAAAATGTAGATGATGCAATTGTAGCACGATATTTACTGCATTAGCTGAGGCTGGACTGTTAGCGTGCTAACATCTGGTACTTAGCAGTAATCACAACGTATAGCCTTCGTTAATGAGAACAGTATTTCTTTAACAAGAAAAAATGATCAAACCACATACTCTGAATGAAATGTTTAACCTGATGCTGGAACTTAATGAGAAGTCAGAGGAGCATCCATAGGATGAACTCAGCATCTATACTAACAAGCTAGTGGACCTTCGGCTAACATTGTCTTCTTGAGGTCATGTGGGGCTTGTAAAGAAGATTATTTTATTTATAGCCTACTTGCAGAGTTTTCTCCAACTTTAGGAAAAAATAGTTTCAATCCGAGTTACATTTTTTGATCAAAATCACTAGCCTATTTTTAGCACGTTTAAATCTTTAGTCATGCTAAAAGCCACATCGCTTAATGATTGACCTTAAAAGCTCCTCAAAGATTGACTGAGCGGTTGTGCAGCAGTCATTATTATCCCCCATTAACCCACATGTAAGAGGTAGCAGTTCAACCTGCACTTATCCATTAAATTGCTAAATTCAGCTTAGGTCTACATCCCTGTATGCTGGCATGCTGTAATCAATCATAAAAAATAATTATGCAGTGTTGCAGTGACGTAATCAAAGTGGTCTGTTAAGCAACCTGAAGAGGGAAAGTTTGGTTTATGGATCTATAACATCTGCTGCTCATTACCATGAAGAACATAGTGTAACTTTAGAAGAAAAAGGTACAAATTGTATTATCTATAAGACAATAATTACATTGAATTTACATTTGCTCATTTCGTTGCAGATGTATGAATCATAGGCTGTGCACGTTAGAATATTTTTTTGTTTAAATTAAAAAAGTTTGTGTCCCGGCTGTCTCAAGAATTCAAGTTGACAGAATCGAAGATGATACGTTAAGACAAATATGTATTCTTTTTTTTCTTTAAAAAAAAAGCCATATACCATTTTTAATTAATTTAACATTTATAAATCGTTCATCCATGTTTAATGCAGGACTCAAACTCTGGATCCTCTGAGTGTGAGGCACCAGCAGTAGGGGCACCCAGGACTAAGCTCTGCTCCATGGGGACGAGCCTTCTCTTCTGCTGGAATGCTCTTCCTGATTACCTGAGAGCCCTGCGGACAGTGGACTCCTTTAAAAGGACTTGAAAACCTTCCTTTTTAAAATCGCTTTTCCCAAAAAAATAAAAATAAATCCCGGAAGTCCTTAAAAACACTGCTTTAAGATCTTTTTTGTTATACTTAGGTTTTAACTCTGCCTGATTTTACCTGTCTTACTAATGCAATTGTTCTTATGGTTTTTATTCTAATTGTAGCACTTTGAGATTTTAAAATGTGCATTATAAATATAATGTATTATTAGTATTATTAGCAGTAACCACTGCTCTGTATAGCCACTTTGTATAAGAATAATTATTTATATTTGGGCAATTGTATTTTAAAGTATATCCTATTGACATGTTAGTAAGAAAAATGTACATTAGTTAAGATGACTTAAATGTGAAATATTTAGTGATCACAAAATTATCACTAACTGCTTGTTAAACTGACAAAGAACTCTAAGTTACCATGACTACCTATTTTTACAAAACATAGACATATGCAGTGGTCTCAGTGACATCACCCATTGGTTTCTGAAGATGTGTTATGAAGCCAGCAATGGCGGGCGCCATATTGGAAATACTATCTCAACCTAACTTTACACCAGTCTAGAAATAGGCAAAGCTTTGCTCTTGGCCTTAATATATTCAAACTGGATGTGTTTAAAAAAAAAAAATCACTTCCCTGTGCAGTGTGTACCGATTAAAAAATGAGCTATTGATATCAACTTTTATTGGTATCCATATTTTTGTGTAGGACCTAATGGTGACCCCTTGGATTCTGCAGCAGCCTTGGAGTGGACACTTGTAGAAGGCTTTTTTTTAAAACTGCCATTTGCTTCTCTACCTCTCTCTTTTTTCCCCTGGTAAATATACTGAACATATTATATGGCTGTAATCTTCTTTGTCCACAGAAAATCATTTTCTTCACTGACTACAATCAGCAGACACTTGGCTTCATATTTCAAATGTATTGTTTTCTGAGCAGAGTGTAGTGTGTAATCAATTTTGCATTTGTTTAGTGTCCAAATAAAGGGAACACAATTAAGGGTTTTGTGTTTCATTACAGCTGTTGGCTTTGAATGAAAATGCTCAGTGTGAATGTGTGTGTTTGTGTGTGTGTACAAGGGGGGTGGAGGAAATCTAGCACATGCGTGTGTCTGTTGCTTGTTCCCTTGCAGCTGGATTCTCCGTGAATGCATCAGAAGGACAGAGATTCTGCTCCGACTGACACAAATTGGCTTGAAGACAAATGGGCTGATTGCAGAACCGACAAAAAAACTGCCTTTGGACAGTTGCAAGGTAAAAACCTGAACTTTCAATGCTCTTTTAATGTTGTTGGAATGAATACAAGGTTATGAAATCTTGAGTTC